CTGTGTTAGTGAATTTGTAAATTGGATCTCCGTGAACCAAAAAGGACAAGACATTGTTTTCGTAAAGAATTTAGTGGGCCACAAATAGACAAACTCAGGGGTTCTAATCATCTCACGGGTTATAATTCCCTTACATATGGCCAAATTCATCCCCATCATACTCATGATTCTAATAATGTCCAAAATTATTCATCAAAAGCTCAAACCATCTATAACCTCCAAATCCCTCATATAGTACATTAACATAAAGTCATAAACACATACGACATTACGACATATACTAATTACAATCAAACATAGATTAACGTATAATTTGAACACACAAACTCGGAGTTCCAATTCAGTAAACTCGATTTCAGAGCCTTAAACACACACACACACAACAAAACTAAGTACACTCATCATATACTTTAGTTATATACAAGTATTTTTATAACTTCATTATCATCAAGACCTAGCTACTTGGCTAGCTAGGCTCCATTATTAGCGTAAGTGTTAACGAGAGCAAGTGCATTACTCGTGAACCTCTTGACATCGGCGACTCTCTCGCATACCGCCGTCTTCGTCTCTCCGTCTTCCATCTCCTCCGTGATCCCATCCGTACAAGTCTCCTCGTCCGTCAACGCCGCGCTCATCCACGTTTGCACGTTACTCATCTGAAACCTAAACGCCGGAGCTCCGGGACGACGGTGGTTCATCTCTCGTAGCTGCCGGAGTGAGCCACGCATCTGTTCCACGGCGTCTCCGACGTTCGAAACGCAGTCTCGGACGGCAGCGGAGGCGGAGGCGCGTGAGAGTTTGGAGAGGTAACTCGCCGTGTATTTTGCGCGGGAGAGAGAAACGCCGATTGCTAGCTTAGCTAGTCTCGCCGGATTATCTTGTACGGAGGAGGCGTAGCCAGCTAGTGACGTGTAACACACGTCAGGGTAAAGCGTTGCGTTGCAGCTCGTGCGGATGAAATCTAGGTCGTTGGTTGGTGTTGGTCCCGGAGGGAATCGGACGGCTGAGATTGTCCGGAAAATGAAGAGTAAGGTGACTAAGTGAAGAAACGTCGTCGTATAAAGATGTCTTTCCATTTTGTGTGTGTTTAAACTCTGTTTTGGTTTTACAGTTTTGGGAGTTTTAATGTATGAGAGATTTGAGGGTTTATGTAGGCATTGAGAAGTGGAGAGATTTGACATGTTAGCCCATACAGTACTCATTATAATCACATTATTGCCACTAATCATTTTGTCTGGTGTTATTTTATTGCATGGTTGGTGTGTAAATGAAGGCTTCGTAGTTTCAACTCTTAGCCGTACCTTAAAAGAAACTGCATTCTTTAGGGTTTTTTAATGTTATGAGATCTTTTGTGTTTTTTGGTTATAGTTATCCCTTACATATTAAATTGTTTTTTTTTTCCAAAAGATTAAACATGTGGGAGGATCCAAAGGAATTATGAGTCATGGGTTGATAATGGGAATTGAACTTTAGAAAATCTAATCTCCATTAATTTCGGAAATCGTTTTCATACTTTATTTTTCACGGATTAGTAGTAGAAAAATTCGTTTTCCTATTTCCCATACTCTTGTAAGAAATTCATTGCACTCATGGCATTTCAATATTTTGTTTCTAATATTATGTTTGACCATGTGGAGTATAAACTCAAAAAATATAAAACATTTAAAGTAGCAATCTCGTCCACTTCAAATGAGATTTTGGACGGACAAAACCAGTTGCAATCTCGACCACGAAAGAATCGTACAGTGGGACTCACCAAATTACGGATGGATCGGACTATGTGGATATTTGCCTACTCTCATTATTTCTGCGAATAATACAGTATACACATAAAAATTCCGAAAATAAAATATCCGCACGCGTAATTATTAACATTCCAGACTTCCAGTATTCTACTATTAATTTTCCAAAGACAATGCTCCAACTTATTCAACATTAACGTCTTGTCTTTCTTTTTTTTTAGTGGACACATTTTTAGATTTACTCATTTTTCGATTGTTGGTTGAGACTTAAACACGAGCATGTAAGAGATTTGGTATATGAAATTAAGAATACATGAAGAATTAGATACAAAAATATACCGTTTCAATTTAATGATAAATTTATATATGTAGGAATGAAAAACAACACATAATGCATTGATGCCACTATCGTTTTAGAAAATTATCCACAGGTCTACTCTACACGATCCTTCTTAAGAAGAAAAGTCCACTTGAACTACCACTTTTGGAAAATAAGTGTGTATAACACATAGTGGGGAGGTAGCCGACTTA